TTATGACCACCTCAACATTGTTACCATCTTTATTGGAGGTGACAAAGCTGTGACGCTTAAACTTAACGGTATTTTCCATTGTTTAATTTCGATGTAGGTCACAAAGGTTCGTTTTAATCTCCTACTTCTTTTTTTCAAGGAGGAATCTCATTTTTGAATCGGAAAGAGAAACGACGTTCCGAACAGAAATCGCCAGATGACCAATCGTCTTAAACGCACCACATATGTGTTCCAGGTACGCAAGGTAGTTGACAGAAGTAGCCGATCATCAAAAGTAGCTAAATGTTCTCAGGAAATCTGTTGAAGCAACATGGACAAGAATTGAAGATGATGGAATTCTGTAACAGAGTCTTCGAGGGGCCGTCGTGCAGCAGTTGGTGGAAAACTGTTCTTGGCATATGCACTACATAAAAGAGTTCCTGAAAAGTATATAGCGTAGGGGGAGGGATAGGATTACAAACAACGGATGTGATATTAATTCAAGAAATGACTGGACCTCTTTCACTTGTCCACTTATTTCAAAGTTTCTGACTCTACGGACCCGGAACATGCAGAATTTTTTGAGCAATCAAATAGCATAAATCGATTCCATTTAAGTAATGAAACAGTACTGAAAAAGCAAAGTACTTTAGAACTTGCAAGACAGACTACTACTTTATTACTGTGTTTCATGCCACCACATAAAAGTCAAAGTATGCTCGTTAGAACGAGTATGTCAAATATCGAATAACTCCTCTAAGACCAGATTTAATGTCATATCGTACGGTCTCCTTGTTTATAGTTGCCTGAGTGGGGTCATTTAAGTATGCCATGCCTGCGTGGTATTTCACCACCTACAATTCCAAATTTAATTCACGTCATTTTGTTTACTGCAGTTACTTCGCTCTCATTATGAACGATACTCTGTGAACTGGTACTCCTTATATGCTACCACAAGAACACAAGAGCACGTTCATGCTATCAAATGCGGCCTACGGGCAGAAATTACCTAACGTTGCTGAGTAAGCTAAAATTGCTCCATCTAGGTTTTCCATGCCACGACACTTTATGTCAGTTTAGCCAATTAGTTTGTAATGACTTCAAGTTTCGCATATTCGAATGACTTTTGTCCCCACGGGAAAGCAGCTGACAGATGCGGTTTTTGAGGCCACAAAGTCAAAAGTTTCTCGAGCAATTACGCACTATTTCGTCTGTTTCCTTCTGACACCATGAAGTGTTTTTGCCATAATTTAAACTTTAAATGTGACTTCCATTTTCCGGAGCTCTTTGGAAGAGTAAATCGTTTATATGGTCTCCTCGAAAATACGCTATGCACTGTTCAATAGGGTGATGTTTGCATTTACGGATACTTATTACTTCTTATTGATGGCAAACTCGAAGAAAGTTTATTTAAGTTAATTAAATCTACTGAATATTTCACTGAGGAGGACTGCTGTACGAAGATAAACATGACTTTCATCACAGCAGCCTCATGTGCCTTGGATAAATCAAGTACGCCACAGCTAAAAATCAGACACTGTCAATCAAACTGGGCAATCTTGTCCCTTAAGCTTTGAGTTATCTTAAAAGACATCAAGAAGCCGTATTGCCTTCGAGGAATATATTTGCTTAATAACACTATTTCTGGAGAATAATACCATTTAATAATAATAAAGACTTACAAGCAAATTAAATTTCATATCACATCCGTGACTCATTGCACAAACAAACTCTTGAGGAAAGAAGTAGGTTGTGTCGACGTGCACCATGGATTTCATATCATTTTAAAAGCCGTTTAATAATAGCGATCTAAATCAAAACTTCTTCTGCTACGTGAGGTTTAAAATTGTTGCGGGAACCCATTTTTGGACGCTGAAACAGTCATGTTGTCCACCAATCGTCGATGGTCGCTGTCATCACTTAAAGCCTCACAAAATGCTTCACCTCTATGAATACGTATGAAGCAAAATTTACACTTCACACTGATGCTGTTCCTGAATCAAGTCCCGCATCCACGTGATGATTGCAAACAGTTGCAAAAGTAAGGGACATCAGGATATCAGGCAAGGGCGGCGTATGACGTACCGTACAGTCTGCCTTGTTAGTCGCTACGAGAGCTGTAAAACGAATAAATTTTACATAATTTACATTGTGGTGACTGGCATATTCTCATATGCTGAGCTGTTCTGTCTGTAATAATTGTGCTACGGTGCTATTGTTTCAGATTTATTTTTGTCACTTCATGTAATTTATTATTTTGTGTTTTTGTTGAAGAATAGCTTTCTTCAAAATTCTCTTTATGCAGCAAAAGAAGGTTACAAGTGTGACGTTCTTGGAGCGATTGCAACAAAGAAGAGGAATGAAAGTTGAAGAAATAATGTTAAAGAGAAGACTCAAGAGATTCAGGGGACTTCTCCTAGCGTCTAGACAGCAGCAGTTACTGGTTGATTGTGATTAGATTCGCTTATCTAACAGGAATATGCGGTCCATGGCTATCAAATACGTGAAAATAGGTGGAAGAACTGAAAGGCATTCTTTGTTCGAAATGGGCTAAATAGACGCGTTTGGTCGAATGGTATTTGACAGGCGAGCAAAATGCTGCTTTTTTATGAATACTGTAAACAATAAATTTCTGCCAGTTATTAATTATGAAAGAGAAATGAAAGTTTCGATATCCAGTTTACCTCCATAAAATTTACATTAACACCATGTGCTGATTTCTAACTCACTATCAGGAGGGCCAAGGCGAATTTTAGCCGCAAGGAGAATCCATTAGACAGCGTGGCAATATGCTTCGTACGCTTTGTGATGAACACATCAAAGCAGGACGTTGTCCTCGTTATTCGCATGTCAATTATCTGCTGCACATTTTCCGGCTGGTTGCACCGAAACGCAATTCAGTGAATTCTCTCTTCAAGGGAATTTGCTATTAATAATGGAGCACCTCTTCAACTTCCTCTGAAACAAAGAGCTTGTCAACGAATCAAAGGAGGTTGAAGAGAGACGGGACCGACGAGGTGCAGTAGTAGAGTTTTGCCTTCCCTGCAAACTCATTGGACAGAATTTGAAGAAG